CATTTCAGTAGTCCGTTGTACTAGTATCGTATCTTAATGTCTCAAGTTTGTGTTCCCCTCCCCCCTCTCTATTCCTCCAAAATTTGTTTTCTTGTTACTTTCTAAGCCTATTCTTTTATCTTTTGGTTAAGAGATTACTTTTCAATTAGTTTTGGAAATTTTGTCTATTTGCTTATGTAAGTTTGTAAATGTCTAGTCTCCTATGCAAATCCCTTTCTCACTCTCTCAAGTTTCATCTTTTCTGGTGTAAACTAGAGGTGTGAGTGTGTCATGCCCCAATCCTGCTATTGGGCGAGGCATGATAGTGATGGAGTGACCAACATTCTCCTGTGAAAAAAATTCAGTGTATGCTAGTCACTGGAACCCTTGTCATTACAAGATAACCTAACTGTGTACTTGTGGAACATATATATATATATATATCACAACTAATAGCATGTACATATAAATATCACTGTAGAATCATAAAACCATGGTTACATCATTACCCTAGGCAGTAGTATATAATATAATAGATCAAATAGTAGTAACATCTAGTTATAAAATAGAGTACAATTTTATCAAATTAAAGTCTACTAATGCTCTCTGGGTCGGTTTGTGGCTGTTCCATGTTGTGATCAACTCTACTCCTCTCTCTTATTTGAGGACATGTGCTTATGTTAATGATATACTTATGAATGCATGTCCAAAATGCATGAAACTAATGTAATTCTTGATTTGAATTACTTTCTTCTTCCCTTTTTTCTGGTTGTTCTTGCACTCCCTCCAAAGGCGCTTAGTGCCGTCTCTAAACCTCTCTTAGATTACTAGCATTTAGATTTATAAAAATTTAGCTTAGTTTTACTCTTTAGTAAATAGCATTAACACCATCAAGTAATGGTTACTTTAATTTCTCATTTCTTAAGCTGTTTTCCCCTTTCCTTAAATTATCCCTTAAACTTAATTATAGGTTGATTATTAGTTCTCTTATGGTTTGGCCATTGTCCCCCTTAGCATGCTTAAATTTCATTGGAATCTTAACTAGTGCCATTTAGACCAAATATAATCTAGTTTGAACCCGTTTGCATTCACCCTTAGGGTTCTTTCCTAGCTTATCTTACTTAAGCTATCTTACCCTTTTTTACGTCTTGTTGTTGCCTTTAAATTAAATTAAAAACTCAAGGGTTCGGCCCCGCCCCTCGTTAGCTAATAACATCTTTAAGTTAAAGCTTTAACTCCTCATACGTTCTCTCATGTTGAGTTCTCATTAGTCATTTCATTAGTTATTATCTAAGCTTCTTAAGATCTTGAAGGAGGACTCATTCTACCCCCCTAAGATTCAGATCTAAGGTGGCTAGGTTAGCTAACCAAATTGCTAGGTCAACATAACTCCACTATTCTTGCAAAAATTTCAGCATTCTTACTATATTCACCTTGCTTAATTTCTCTTAGTTTTAAATCTCCAAAATTTTCTTTTATGGTTACCAATTCTCTTTTATCCTTTACCCTCCTCTAATCCCACAACTAACTCTAGTTTGTGATTAGTTTCAACCACCCAAGTGGCCAAAACCCTAGTTTGCTGAAAATTGGTTTTTCTCTTCCTTAAAATCATTTCTCTTGTTTTTACTTTCTTTTTTTGTACTCTAACTACCTAAGCTTTCCCTTCCATGGTAGACGAATCTAACCACCTGTTTCCAACCCTCTTAACTTCAACAAAGCCATCGCAAAAACCCATAGAAATACTCTATTTTTCAAAGAAAACAAAACCCTAAACTGGTTTCAATCAAAGCACAAATTTGATTCTTAAATTCTCCTCCCTAGAGTTTTGGTTCCCCCCTAATTTCAGCATATACACAAGATCAAAAATGGAATCTAAACTAATTAAATGGAAGAACAACATAGTATTTAACATAAACTCACAAGAAAATGGAAGAAAAATGCATGAAAACATGATTTTTGGCAATCTTTTCTTTCCGTTTTCTTACTTTTCTTCATTTCTTTCCTTCCCTTTCTTTTCGTCTTTCTTTTTCTTTTCTCCCTTCTTTCTCGTGCCAAAACCAGGTGTTGGGGGGGGGGGTTTATATCTCCCCTTAGGTCGGTTCACTATGCCGCCCAACCTTCCTTGGAAATTACCTTTCTATCCCTTATTGTAAACTTTGATTATCTCCATGTCCCGTCAAACCCTAATTTTACCATATATCCCCTAGAGAACTCATGAAATCCTTTCCTTGCCCTCTCAATTAAGAGCCTAAGCCAAGGCTTAATTTAAATTTTTATTTGCCTTAAACTTACTTAACCATTTCCACCATTTCTAGATTTCAATTCCAAATTTACTCCTAAATTTTTCATTTCCTTTTCTCACTTCAATTCCATTACCCTATTCTATAGATCTCTTAAGATCAAATAAAACCTTCTAAAATTTTATTTTCTCTCTTAGGGTTGTGAACAAGTAAAAAAACAATAATTACTCATTGAGTTTAAATTAATTATAACATAATACAAATGCAAATACCATGCTTAATGATGATAATTATGTACATGCATGAAACGCTATAAGGCTATTCTTGGTTTAGGATGTTACAGAGTGTGAAGAGTAGGTTTGTAGTTTGAAAGTCGTTTTGCATATTGAAGCACTTTGTTTCCTTGTATGGTTGCTTTAGCTTATAGTTTTGACAATTGCATCATTGTTAACTTGAAGTTTTCAGACTATGGTCTACATTATTCTCTTTGTACAATTTCAGAATAGTTGTACCATTATTTAATTTTGAACAAGCAAAAATGGATAGAGAGTAGAGCTTTCAATGCAATCGTGACCAATATGCTTATCCATTTGGTTTTGATTTTTTTTCCTAGACTTTTATTATATGAATCATATGGATGTAATATTTAGGACATGGCATCATATCTCACGTAATTCATGGAGTTGCATATGTCTTAAATCCAACCTTTCACTATGACAAAGATAATTTGTGTTCAAAAATAGAGGTGCAACAAGAATTTCTTGAGGTTCTAGAAGCAAGAGTTAAGAGTAATAAGAAGAAGTTTTTAGCTAAAAATATTCTTTGTTGTGAAAGGCAAGAAAGTTCTAGTAGTTCATTGGCTCTTGAATGCTCTAAAGATATGCATTGAGGTAAGACTTAAAGAAGTGCTTTTTATTTTTTAGTGATTTGTTTCTTTTAAATTGTTAGTATTTGAATGCTAGTCATAATTTAAATATTTATTATTGTAGATGAATGGTAGAAGACGTTTGGACATAGTGCTCTAATGGTAAAACAAATGGCAATTGAGCTCTTAAGCTAAGCTGCATTTTTCTTTGGGTTGTGAAATAAATTGGAGCATTTTTTAGAGAATTCATAAAAAGAAAGAATAGGTTGGTGCATCAAAGGTTGAATGAACTTGTATTTGTGCATTATAGCTTGCGTTCGAAGTATAGGTAAGTCTAGTAAACTTTTTTTCTTCGATTAAACTCAATGTCTTTATTTAAATTCTTGTATAATGCTAATTATTTAATTTGTTAATATTTATATTATTATTATTATGACTTGTAGAGCCAAGAACAAAAAAGCTTGAATGAATCCCATTGATTTTGAAAGTATAGACAAAATTGAATATTGGGTTTTTGAAGAGGATAATTCTCCAAACCTTGATTATGAAGAGTTGGAGAAAATGCTTTATAATGATTAATCTCGTCCAATAATAGATGTAAACCAACATAAAGGTTAGTCACTTAATCTTTTACAATTACATGCATAGACTTTTGACAATTCTTTTCAATTATGTAGGTTTTTCTAATTCTTAATTATCTTGTTTATCTTAAAGGCAATATTGATTGTAGTATTGCTAGAGTGGAGAGCTTAACTTGAAATCATTCTCACAAGATGTTAATAGTTAAAATGAAAATGTGTATGTGGATGTTTTTGCTCATTGTGGTAGGAACAATACTTGGTTTAACCAAGATCCACCAACACAAAATAAAATGTTTGAAAGCGTGTCACAATCATTTTATTTTGGTTTAATGACTTTAAGTATTGTTATATTTGGTAAGTTTCTTATTTTTAATCATATGTAACTTTAGGCTTGAATTTGAAACTTATATTTGAATTTGTATAATTTAAGTTATGTCATTCCTTTTGAAACAGAGAGAATTACTATTTTGTGAATAACTAATATAATTATTAATTTATTTTATTTTTATTTTTTTTAATTATTAACTGGTTGAACCTGTAGTTAAACTAGTTGAACCGTTAAATTATTACATAGTGCGCTTTATTTAATCACCAGACTATGTTTTAAAACATTGAGTTAAACCTTGTTGGAGTCGGGTAACACAAAATTGTAATTAATGCTGGTTGGTGGCAGACCACGCAATCGTATCTATTTGTATGGCGCTGCCACGCCGTTGTAAGGGAGAGAGAGGAGCAAACCAATTGTGTGTGAGACGGCTTATGTTAGTGGGGTTGGCAAATCCATTAAGAAGTACGAAACGCTATGCTACACTGCTTATAGAATTCCATATTAATATACACTATTTGTTCCATGTGCTTCGTCACGCGTTACACGACCAAGTGACTTCGATGGAAAATTAATATTTATATATTACATGCACTTACATTCATATTTCCTTTCATTTCAAAGATGGTGACCTTGAAAGCAGAGACCGGCCCTAAACAAAACAATTTTTTTGGAGGCTCTGTCTGCATTTAGATTCCTTCCTTGAATTTCCGGTGGGGTTCTGTAACATGTTTGATATTGGTTTGTGTTATTTGGTGTTGATTCGGGCATTTAATGTTTTGGTGCTTGTCCTTGCTCATGTGCAGAATGTCTCAATGATTTTTTTTTTCCCGTTAATCGTGCTCTTTAAGCTGCCTTGATCTGGTATATTTTGTTCAATTAACATATGTTGTTTTCAGAGAACAAGCTTTGCACTAGATCATCTACCATTAGCTAGTGTCCACGACACACACAGGGAGGGAGACTGCAAGTCCGAGTACCCTAATCTGTGAATTGTGACGGCCTAAACAATGTCAGCCTTGGCTTGGATTGGGACAACACTGGTTACTCTGGTTGCTGTTGCATATTTGGTGCAATTGAGGAGGAAGAAGAAGTATAGCAGATTACCTCCGGGTCCAACAGGCCTCCCATTACTGGGACACCTCCATTTGATAGGCAAATTCCCTCACCAAGATCTCCACCGGCTATCCAGAGCACACGGTCCCATCATGTACCTCAACTTTGGCTTTGTTCCTGTCATCATCGTCTCATCCCCTGCAGCTGCAGAGCAATTCCTCAAGACCCATGATCTCAATTTTGCAAGTAGGCCACGTAGAGAAGCTTTCAAGTACATGGTATACGAGCAGAGGAACCTGGTGTTTGCCCCTTATGGCCCTTACTGGCGAAACATGCGCAGGTTATGCACCTTAGAGTTCCTTAGTACCAGAAAATTGCTTCATTCAAATCTATTAGACGGCAAGAGGTCGGTTTTCTGATTGAGTCCATTCAAAAGGCTGCGTTGGATGGCATTACAGTGGATCTTAGCACCAAGGTGTCATCCACAAATGCAGACATCACCTGCAGGTAAGGCCGTTCAAACAAACTGTTTGATACAATGTTTACTTTTTCTTTTTTTGTTTTATCTTCTTTCAAAATTGGTCTCGTTTTATTTTGAGAATTTTTTTAAACTGAAGTATTTGATTTGGTTTTCAACTAGGCTTGTCATAATGTTTCATATACTTAACCAAATAATTAGGTATGTCCTTCATAAGATGTTCAATAATTATACTGTATTCTTCATAGACAAAATATATAGAATATATTATGAACAAAATTAGTAGTGTTCATTAAAACCTGAGGGCCGAAGGTTGGTTTTGTGTCTTTCTTGTTTCTCTTTTTTAGGGTAAATTGTAGTTTTGATTTGGACTTCGAAACGGATACAAACCTATTGGGTTTCAATTGTCTTCTCTTCTTGTAAAAATTGTGCGCATCTCTGTCTGCAGAATGGTATTTGGGAAGAAATACGCAGACCAAGATCTGGATGAAAGGGGGTTTAGAGCAGTAATGCAAGAAGGAATGCGTTTATCTGCAACTCCCAACATTGGGGATTATTTCCCTTATATTGGGGCCCTGAATTTGCAGGGATTGAATGGACGCCTGAAGGCTCTTGGCAAGGTCCTTGATAAATTCCTTGAGAAGATAATTGACGAGCACGTTCAATCCAAACCCACAGAACAAGTACAGCACAAAGACTTTGTTGACATCATGTTGGCCTTAATGGAATCCCGGGAACCAGAGTTCAGGATTGATCGGGCCCATGTCAAAGCCATTATGCTGGTAATTTAATTTTTAATTTTAATTTAATAGATGTCATTTGTGATGACCAAGTTTTAAACCTTTGGATTGTGTGGTTTGGAGAGACGAAAGACGAAGAAAGAGATTGTATAATCAAAATTTGAATTGGGTTTGATAGAAGAGATGAGTGGAGACAGGAAATTAGAGAGTGCCAAACATTGTATAATCTCATCTTTGATCCCTTCAAAATTTGAGAGATTTGAATAGAAAATGAATTTAATCTTCACTTGAATGTTCGTAATACCACAATTACCAACTAAACGTTTAAAAAAAGACATCCAAACAATTTTTCCCCATTTCTTTCAAGATATCCAAATAAGGAGAGAAATTAAAATATTTTTCTTACTCCTAACTTCCCAGATTTAACGTGCAGGACTTGCTAGCAGCTTCAATGGACACTTCAGCAGCAGCCATTGAGTGGACGCTATCAGAACTCTTAAAGCATCCAGAGGTGATGAAGAAGGTCCAAAATGAGTTAGCAAAAGTGGTGGGTATGGACAGAATGGTTGAAGAATCAGACCTAGAGAGCCTCGAATATCTTAACATGGTAATTAAAGAGACCCTTCGGCTCCATCCGGTGGCACCACTTTTAATCCCCCACCAAGCCATGGATGAATGCATGGTGAATGGCTTCTTCATCCCTAAAAATTCACAAGTGCTCATAAATGCATTCGCAATTGGGCGAGACCAACATGCATGGACTGATGCAGATAAATTCATACCAGAGAGATTTGCAGGAACAAACATTGACATAAGAGGACATGATTTCCAACTCATCCCCTTTGGATCGGGCAGAAGGAGTTGCCCTGGGATTCAATTGGGACTAATTGTTGTTCGGTTGTTAGTGGCACAGTTAATGCATTGTTTCCATTGGAAGCTTCCAAGTGATATGTTGCCAAGTGAATTAGACATGACTGAGGAGTTTGGCATTGTGGTTTCCAGGGCTAACCTTCTCTATGCTCTTCCAAGTCTTCGTCTTCACAAATAATTGATGATCTCAATTGTCTCAGAAATTGGGAGTGGTGACCAAGCACAGTCAGAATTGGGCTCATTCTCTTCTTACAGACCATGTATCCTTTCTGTTTCAGCCTTTGAATTTGTTATTATATTTTTATTTTTGTTTGTTAACCAAAATGTTAAGTTGAAGAGATATAGTAAAAAATAGTAAAAGGATGTCTTTCCTTTTTTTTGGGGGGTGGGGGGGGGGGGGGGGGGAGAGAGGTGGGTGGGTGATGAACTGTATGCTTGTTGCCTTTTCTTACTTGGAGTACCATTATTATTATTTATCCACTTAACACTTCTTTTTTATTGTTATGGAGTTTACGATGATGATTATCAAATTTAAAGAAACATGAAGTGTATTACATTGACAATATAAACAATTAATGACAAAAATGCTAGGCTTACAAGTTCCAAGAAAAATATGAAAGAACCATGCGGCATGAACAAGTAAGACAGCTTCATTATCGTCTACAAATGAATTCTTGTTTTTCAATTAAAATTAATGAAAGAGCTATCATTAGAAAATCACACAAGTGCTTTCCTTTTACACTGATGGATTTCCAAACAGTTGATTCTTTCTTTCTCGTAAGTTAATCTTTCATGAAACTAGCCTTCTTTATACTTCGTTCCTGATTCATGACAACTTAACTCTTGTCCATTATTCAACTTACTCAGAAAATCTCTTGTTGTATCTTGGGTGTTAATCCAGCAATTCAAGTTTAGATGACGCAAAGAATTTTAGCAGCAGAAACAAGAAATTTAGCACTCTCCCTGTCTCCTCCTCTCCCCAGTCTTTTTCACTGTGTATATATCACTTTGTCCATAGAAGAATGATGAAAGCCAAAATTTCTAAATTCTAAAATCTAAAATTTAATCCTACAGGATGGGCATTTTACGGAATTCATTTAAATGTCAGGAATCTCTTACTTTCCCCCTCCCCCTGCAAGTAGCATGATTCAATTCCTGACTATTATTTAATACGGTCCAATTTTTCTCTTTTTTATCTTGGGTGTTGGTCTTGCAATTCCAGTATGGCGGCCATACAGTGGCTTGGTTGAAAGCTAGAAATTGAACTGTCTCTCCCGGGTCTTCTAATATAAAATACTAAAGAAATTTTGTTTTCTTTTTACACTAGTAACTAGGGATGGAAATTTCCTCCTAAATCAACCCGATGCCAGAGCTCACAACTCCGACACAGATTCAATTATTTTTCTGTAATTTGTGATTCGCCACCTATATTTGTTACATATATAAATATAGAGTCAGTTTTAAGTGGCACAAAATGATTTCAGAGCAGGCCATTACCAGTGAATTCCTCATTGATAAATACATGAAATGGGCTTAAAGTTGACCGTATTTGGGTTAAAAATATTGAGTTATGAATTTTCAAGTTTTTTGCCCAAATTTGCACATTATTGATCTAAAATTATAGGAAAAATATCAAATGAGTCCAAAAAATTCTAGAAAATTAGCATTTGTTCAAACCCTATTAGTTAAATTCTGCACAAGATCATAGCCTTTGAACTTTTGGAAAGGATGTTATTGTTTTCTAAAATCAATTATGTTCAAACGTTGGCAAAACAGTTAAATTTTTGGAATGGCATATCTCTCAACTGGCTTATCAAGGTACTTCAAAAAATTTTAACTACAAGGCACTCACTGGTGGCATTGTTATGGTTCAAAAATCATTGCATTTGGATAAACTGCCAAAGGGTTATGAGTTTAGTCCTTTGAATTGGATGCTTTTGCTTAAAAAATTCATAATTACTTTTAGACAAGGAATTCCGGGGTCCACTTTATATTGATAGAAAACTAGCTCAAAGTGTCATTTATTAATTTTTTTTGGAAAATAGTTTAATAAAAAATGTAAGATCAAAATGTTAAAAAATAGAAAGCTATACATGATGCAATTTCTAAAAAATGATAAAACATGAGGCGTGGTAGTGTAGTGAGACTAGAATGCATAATTTGCTAAGAACAAACATGGCAGGCTTCCGGCACCTATCTTTAGGGCCAAGCTAAGAGAAGAATGTTGAACTCCTCCCCACCCCGTCATGAAGCCGGGATATTGATCCGCGAGGATTTATGAATCAATTTGTGAATTAGTTTATTATAATGTCTTTCTTGCTATTTTAGCTTTATTCTATTTTATAATTTTTTATTTCTATTTATTTTTATGTGATGTAGGAAGGACAGTTCGAGCTTAAGAGTATGGAGAAAGAGGTGAAAACTTGCTATATGTTGAAAGTTGGAGCAGAATTTCTAAAGTAACAGATCTGTAGTATTTTAAGCTTTACTAAAGTTACGAAGGTCAAAATAGGCTAATTTCAACCGGGCCTATAAGCTAATTTAAAGGGTTACAATGCTTATATTTTGTGCTCAGTCCAATTTAGAATGAAAGACAACCAAAATTGGCTTGAAATTTAACCCCTATGCATTGGGCCTCATAGTGGAAAACTTTGTTGGACCTTTAGTTGGTTTTTAGGCTATATCTAGAGCAGTACATGTTGGATTGGGGTGATTTAAGTTGGGTTTTAAAGCTGTTCCAATGGACCATAACTTTTGTGTTTTAGTTCAAAACAAATTCTGACTAAACAACAATCTAATCCGGCCCAAACCAAAGTCATAGTTCTCTCGTATCCGACAATTTTTAGTTCCGACCTCGTTTTGGTAAAATTATTTTATATTGGGTTAGGAAAATCAAATTGGGTTTATTCCAAAAGCACTAGTTTTGATGCTGTACAACATTTGTGTTTTTGTATTAACCGAATTCTAGTTGGAAGAGTAGACTCCTTATTAGCTGGGTTATTTTTTATTTATCTTTTAGCTGATTATTGATGATAGTATTTAGAGATTCTTCGCAAAAGGATAATACTAGAGGAGAGCATAAATCATTATTTCTTGATTATCTTGGAAAATATACAAGAAGGTAGTCTTGATTTCTTGATAGAACTAGTTGCAGAGAAGATCAATCTTCTCCAACATGCTTATAAAAGGAAGCCTTGGAAGCATCTAGAAGAAATCGAGACGTCTCCTATGATGGAGGAGGTCTAACATCCCTCCTCTTACTTACCTCTCCTCTCACCTTAGTATCAAGCAAGTATAGATTTACCAAGTACTCAATATCACATACTAAAAACAAGAAAATAATAATTAAAATAGTAAAAAGCTCAAAATCTCAACCGAAACAACTCAATGGTACTTGTCTGTATTAATGGAGCACTTCTATGAAAATTCTTATGGGCAAAATCTAACCAAAAAAAAAGGAAAAGATAATAACTAACTTCATTTTGCCAACACTCAACATCAACACCTTGAGAATTGTAACATCCTCTCAAATAGTAGAATCTGAAGGAGAATCAATCTCTGAATCTGAAAAATAATGAATGGGTGAGTCGACTTGATTTAGTGAATAATAACATGTATTCATGAGGACAATAGACAAGCATACATGTCATAAGAAAGTAACATTTAATATTTCATAAAGTAGTTTGTTCATAATTAACGAGACATTAGGGAGTTTGCGACTTAGAACATAAATAGTGCAGTGATCAAATTTCACAGTAGATTCTCATTCTGTTGAGATATATTCATACAGTCTAACCATGTTGGCCTACCATGATAGTCTAGCACTATCATTTTTAGCTAGGCATACAGCCCAAGTTGCACCCAGCCTAGCACTTACTATAATTAGATATAGTGTTTTGTTAATCCCATAACTCACTTTAAATAATTTTTTAGTTACAAACAGAAACAAACATCAATATGAAGTAGAAATTTTGAATACAAGTTTAAACAATATCAAGAAAGCACTATAAGTTAGCTTTATAAAATAAATTCAATTTAATTACATAGAAGTCCCTATTATGCATTTATATATCCAATAAATTATGAGATTTATGATAGATATTGAACATGTATAAAACAATTATAAATGAATATTATTACTCACAAAACTAGTGGAAGTCAAACATTATGGGCTCAATGAGAAGCTTCTCAGAAATCTAAAACCACACAAACAATAAAGTTTTCAATTTAGAACTCTACTATATCTAGAGACCGAATCTAGATAATCTCCTAATTACAACCTATGTACAAGATTTAGGTCTTCATGCCGAAAACCCATAATGAAGCCACTAAAGTCCCAAATTGATACAATAAAGTCAAGAACCAGCTACAAAAGTCCTAAACTGGGCTAATTAAGCCCATAATCGATTAGTAAAGTGCTAAACCAACCTTCTAAAGCCTTGAACCAAGCTAATTAAGCCCTAACTGATTAGTAAAGTACAAAACTGGCTCTCTAAAGACTTGAACCAAGCTAATCAAGTCTTGTGCCGATTTGTAAAGTGCTGAACCAACCTTCTGAAGCCCTAAACCAAGCTAATTAATCCATGAACCGACCTAATAAGGCCTTGAACTAGTTGATAAAACACTAAACTAGTGCTAATAAGTACTGAACCGACCCTAATATGAACTATCCAGTTAATAGGACATTGAAGTGGACCAATAAAACCATGACTAACACTAATAAAGCTCTAAACTAGTTAATACAGTCATGAACTGGCCAACTAAACACTGTTCCGATATTAAATTGGCTATGGCCCTCTAAATTGGCCCACTATTTCAGATCCAAAATCCAAATCAACCCTGCAACCCAAACTCGGTGCAAATTTGACTTGGCCTAAAATGCAACTAAACCCAAGGCGAATCTAGCAAAGCCTAACTTGGCCTAATCCATCCAAAACCTAGAAGAGCCTAGTTTACTCCAAAACCTAGAACTCAATCCAACACAGAACCACTAATTTTGATCTAGTTTAGGGAACTGAATTCTACAAAAACCCAAGTGCCTACTCAGGTGTCATCTCTTAGGCTCGAATTCCCAACCTACAAAGGCCCCTCTCCTTATATGCTTCTAGCCCTATAATTGGCTTAATTTCTAGTTAGTGATAATAGTTTAGGCTGCAGACACATCTTAGCAACACCTGT